TGTTGATCGAAACACGAGCGCTATACTCGAGACTGCCATCGCGGATCTGTGGCAGAGGATACAGGATGCGCCGGATAGCTATGTGCTGAACGGGGACGAATTTGCATTATTCAACTATTTCCGTGTCAGATATCGCGATAACCGGATTGCCCAGTTGGCAGTGGAACGGTTCTGGAACAATTACCGTGGGAACAGCGCAGGCAGTGATGGAGGTAAGACATAGCACTTGCTGTTGTACAAATGGCACCTGGTTTTCAGCGACATGTGGGAAAACCACAGTGTCTTTTTTGCGTCCTCCGAGGCCATCGTCTTGACCAAGAGGACCACACGCTTCGGTTGCATGTCAAGCCTGACCCTCCATTACTCTCAAAGGCTCAAGAGTGAAATCTGACCATCAAAAATCAGCGCTTCTGGGGGCTGCTGGCTGTGAAATTTGAGCTGTAATCCGCGGGTCCAGGGTTACTGGTTGACCATGCCTAGCTGGCAACTGTACCTGCGAAACGAGAATTGGGAGCGCTGGACGAAATAACTTCCGTTGGCCGATATTGCCGGGGTTAAACCAGCATTGGGAAATCCATCATGTCTTCTCCATGTGCCTGTGGAGAGGTCAGCAGGGATGGCGGTCCTCTATATGTGCTGAGATAATTTTTCTTTGCCGGATGACCTTAATCACTTTCATGATCTTCGGTTCACGCTCAGCACCATACTTCGACTGAACCCAATTCCTCTACAAACATTCGGATTTGACTCGATGCAGCTGTGCTGCGAGGTTTTTCGAGTCGGGAGCGGCATTGACCCTCTCATGATATATCTGCAAAATGATCGAAGTATAATAATTCCATTTCTTTTACATATCAGGTCTTGGACTCGGACTACCACTGCTCAGGCTGGGTCAACCTGTTCGCCAAAATGATTCGTTGGGCTTGGGCCACGGATACCTTCTTTTGCCTCCTCAGTTCATTCAATATGTTGATCATGCCAGTGAACTACTGGTCATATAGATACCAGGTGATCAATTCGCACTCTTAGGAACAGTTATCTGCACAGACTGTGACATCATCCTCTATAATTGTCATGACCTAGTTAGGTCGATCAGAGTATCATGACCTACCGAGTCAACTTTTGCATGGAGCTTAGTGGTTGCAGATGGGCTGGTCAAAGCTACTGTTGGTTATAGTTCAATGGACAGAACAGCCTTTCAACACGAAAATACATGATTGGCCCATACTGCATTAGGAGATGCAAAAGAGCAACCTAGCTTGATAAACATGTAGGTAGACACAAAATTAATCTACTACCATCTGTATCCACTAGTAACTACCACTGTAAGACCGGGCCGGATTCCAAAAGGCTGAAATTACAGCGAGATGCCTTCATCACGCGCATCTGGACCTATATAGTAGATCACAGGGTAGAGTCCTTACAACCACAGACAAGTTGCTCACTTATGTTACTTGACAATTGTACACATGGCATGGGGAAGAATGACACGCAATTTGAAGGAATGAACGAGAAAACAAAAAAGTCTTCCAAAGAAGGCTTCCCAGGTCGCGCCCGGAATCGAACCAGGATTGCCAGAATCAGAATCTGGAGTGATAACCATTACACTACGCAACCAGAATATGGTTGCTTTGCAAGAGTTTTCGGTATATGAAACTTCTCAGGAAGAGCGATGGCAAAAAAGAAAAAGTGTAAGGTCGTGCCCGGAATCGAACCAGGATTGCCAGAATCAGAATCTGGAGTGATAACCATTACACTACACAACCATGCTATTTATAATACACCCAGCTTAAAAAACGCTTCATATGGAAACCATATATGGAAGTTTCATCTTGAACCCAATTTGTCAGGTCTACTCCGTAAGTAATGACTAAATCGCAGTCCGAAAATTGTACCTGTTTTTGTTGACTGTGTCCAGTTGTTGCCTTCCATTCCTATGATAAGTAACTATCTAAAGTACTCCGCATGTTAGCAATGGCATTGTTTATAATATGATACTTCGCCGTGTTCATAATATTCGTTGCTGCCTGGTTTTCTTCCGATGTCCATTACTTCTCATTAAACTGCCTTAGCTAATCTGACCATAGCTATCTTTAGCACATGAAGTGTCTAGCTAACAACTAAGCTACCACAGCTGGCCAACCCACCCTCTGGATTCACTGCGGTCACAGCCAGATGTTAAACCATCCTATATCAAAAGATGCAAAGTTGCAAACTTTCTACCTCGAATAACTTATACTAGGCCACATTCGGTGAAAAATGATAGGAAAAAGTATTTAGACATAGTATATCTCTTCTATCTCATATGCGATAAGTCTGGACTAGCTGTATTAATTATATAAGTGCTAGTCAAGGATTACTTATCTCTCAAAAGGGGGTTCTATTCATAGGTAGAGCTAGGATATTGTGTGCATTTAGTGGTGTAAGAAGTAGTGTTCTAGGCAGCTACGACTCCAACGCCTTACCAAAAGGTTACAATGGTGATTCCCCATGGAATCATCAGGCCTAGATCATGCTTATATACCACTACCTCTCTAGGTTATGTCGAGCCCCATGACATAGACTCGGCGTTTGGTATTAATGGGTTGAGTCACTAGCAGACAGTGGTTGTCTTCTTGGATCTGATAATCTACGGAGGTCCAAAAGCCAGGGTGATGTCAATCATATAATTGGACAATCTGGTAATAGTACTAATTTCCTCTGGCTAAATTGACTGGTGGGTTAGATGCAAAAAAGCCGCGCAGATAATCAAGTCAAGCTACTATCAATGAGGATACAGGCCACACCCTTGTGATGACAAAGTCGGCCGGATCAGTTATCATGAGGCATAAGGAGAGAAAAAAGCGAGCAAAGTATAGCGACATTGACAGAATAGGGAGGGAAAAAAAGGTCGCGCCCGGAATCGAACCAGGATTGCCAGAATCAGAATCTGGAGTGATAACCATTACACTACGCAACCAATTATCTGTGTGCAAATTTTCCCCCTTTAATATAGAAGCAATGGAAATTGGATTATAAGCATTGGAATACTGTCCCACATGTGGTTTTTGGTCGAAGGAACTCTTGTAACGTTGAATACAGGAGATGGTACCTAGTTAAACACGTAGCCTGTACTATACACTAACGGACATCTCTCCAGAATAACCACCCAGACTACCAAATCGCAAATGGCATCAATCACAGGGGCATTGCTGTCCAATAGAAGTGTGACCTAGAGTACTCACGCTTTGAGCGAGACATCAAGGACCTGCATGTGAGATCCTGCGCCACCCAACTGAGGTAAAACCTACTATGATTCGACCATAGGGTCACATCATGCTGGGCTTTCATATATAAGTTCACTGGCTTAACAATGCATTCTGACCTAAAAGAGGCATCATCCTAAGGCCATCGTTTATACTACTATATGGGGGCATGCAGACATCATGGGCTCTCTCTAATAGATACTAGGTTGGTAGTCCTACAATATCCACTAGGACCTTCTAGAACTAGGTACAAGAATGTAGACTACTCCGCATAGAGGTCACACCCTTATGCACCATGACTTGTTAGAAAAGCCACACAGAACCACACATTGATGCCTGTTGAGCATCTTAGCTACAAGCAGAAACGTCTTGCCATTCTTAAAGTTCCGAGTACAGTTGCTTCTATTTCCCTCTAGAGCCCTGGTTACTCTTTCGAGATGCCATGCGCAGCTAGGTAGCTTTACCTTTCCCGTTCATATACTAGGGATTAGTTTAAAAAATTGAAGATCTGCACTTGGGGCCAGATCGACACAAGCCAGGGTTTACGGGTGAATGTAGAGTGAATCACGACAAGCTGGCATGATATTGTAGGTATGGTCCATGGCCCCCGTTTCGCACACTCCGTTCTCCAGAAGCACTTGTGTGATTGCAGATGAACTTGCTCTTATACTTTATATATTTATAATTTTGGACACCGTAGCGTCATTCGGTTGCGTAGTGTAATGGTCATCACTCCAGATTCTGATTCTGGCAATCCTGGTTCGATTCCGGGCGCGACCTTTGTGGCATTATCCATGTGTCCGTATTTGTTTTTTTGGTCAGTCACGCCCGTGCGGCCATGCCTCCAGCATGAAACATTCCAGGATGGCAATAACATGTAGCCATCATTAAAGTCATATATTTAATTTATTTATTTATGTGAAGCAAGTGCCTAACCCTTTAAGCAACTACCAGCTCATAAATAAGTCAGGGCTCTGGGCAGCTAGTCCATAGTATTAATATTATTAGAATATCATAACTGAATCAACAGCACAGGTCATGCTTATATACTACCAACCCTCGGTGCCCCTGGACCTCTCAGGACCCCATGACACGCCTAATGCCTTGGTATCTGCCGGACCATTGTTATGAGAAGATCGTAGTCCACTACGAGGAGTAAGTGGTAGTATTAACCAACCAGCCTATTAATTTGGTCATAGTAGTACTAGTAGGTAGGTATGAGCCGGTTGTAATTTTTCGTAGTACTTTAGACTGGCTCTTAAGCCAATAAGGCAGCTACTCCTCAGCAGTAGCGGGTTGTGTAGTGTAATGGTTATCACTCCAGATTCTGATTCTGGCAATCCTGGTTCGATTCCGGGCACGACCTTCTTCTTCTAATAATCTTTGGATTACAAAAGTTGTCTTTTTGCTCAACTCGCTACCATCATCGGCAACAGATGGGAATTTCCCGCGAACTTTACAGTCCTGTCAGTAAGCTGTTCATGCCTGAACGCCGTCTTCACACACATCTATTCTTTGAAGCCCTGTCGCGAGCCGCAAATGCTTGACGAAAGTAAGGTATACTTCTGTATTACATTTCCAGCGCACTGGCTGCAGCAATGACACGCGTGGCGATCCTGCTGAAGCACAGGGCAAAATGGACCGTATCAACAAGACAAAGAGTAAAAATATCGAGGATCTATAGGCACATTGAAAAAAACGGGACATTTTCGGCATATATTACAAAACCGCGCTCTCTATATATCATTATCATGTCTATTTATTGGCCGGGGACTCAGGGCTGATCAACGGATCAGACGATCCTGAGCTATCATTGGTCTTATCACCGTTGAGCATGTCTGCTGGTGGCTCTGAAATCTTAATTAGCCTAGCCAACAAAGAGATCTTGCATTAGTCACTCACCGGTTCTCGACGATTTCCGCTCCGCAAGGTCCAATTCCTTCACCCTGCCTGCCTCGACCTCCGATCTGCACATTCCCAGAAGAGACTTGGGAAGCCCCATTGACGAAAGGAACGAAACCGAGTCCTTCCATTCGACTTCCTTTCGCTTGTCGTCCCAGTTGAGTTCAGCGCCCATCAAGTCGATGATTCCGGGAAGAGCTTCAAGTGCCGCTTCAGCGTTGAGGAAAGCCAACCTGGTTCTGCGCGCAATGACATCAACTGCAGTTTGAGCATATTCGTGGCGCACGGCATAGCGAACTTCACCGTCAATGAACGGATACAACGCCGAGATACGTCGGCCCCGGAGGGGGAAGCGAGCATCTGTGGGAGCAGACAGAGCTGCAACCTGCCATGCGCGGTCGCCATAAGATTCAGTCAGATGCCTGGCCACGTCAGTCTCGAGGCCGAAGTGCTGAATGAGGTTGATAAAGAGCGTCTTGGAGTATCCATGGGCTCCAATCAAGCGGACTTGGTGGGTCTGGCAGCTACCATCAAGTACGGCACCGTCGGAGACCAAACCACTTCCACCAACACCACTGATGTCCGGAACCTGGGAAACCGCCCGGGGCTTCAGGCCGAACACCTTGATCGCCTCGTCCACGGCTTCCTCGGCCATTTGACGGTACGTGGTCCATTTGCCGCCAGCGCAAGTCAACAACCCAGATGGAGAAACGGAGATTAGATGGTTGCGAACCAAGGCTTCGGAGCTCTTGATTTTAGGATCACGGACCAGCGGGCGGATTCCGGACCAAGCAGCAAGCACATCACTTCGTTCGACATTAATATCTGGGGCCAGGTAGCCGCGAACTTCAGAAAGAATCCAGTTGATGTCCTTCTCAGAAGGTTCGGGCTGGGTCGTGATCTCCGTCGGCTGATCTGTAGTACCGGCTATAGTGTTGCCCTGCCACGGAAGAAAGAAGATGACGCGACCATCGGAAGTAGACGGATCAATGAGGCCCATTTTCGAGGGGCTGTAGTAACCCGGAAGGATGACGTGAACGCCAGCACTGGGAGCTACAATCTCTTTAACATCGGGCTCGTCCATTTTCCGGATTGAATCAGTGAATGGACCAGTGGCGTTGATAATTCCCTTGGCTCTGACTGTGAATTCCTCTGCCTCCTGACCATTCTTTCCCGGAATCAAGTCCTTCACGCGGGCCCCATTCAGCTTTCCTGATTCATCTTTGGTTAAGCCAGTAACCTGCATGTGGTTGACAACTGTGCTTCCGTACAAAGCTGCCGTCATTGCTAGAGACACGTTCATCCGAGAATCATTGTGCGCTCCATCTGCAGGACATTAGCATGTAGCTCACCAAACGCAAGCATCAGATGTGGCGTGGGTTGACACATACCATAGTAAACCATCGCACCGACGAGGTTGTCTCTTCTCAACATGGGGAACGCATCAATGGCTTTGCTCTTGGTGAGAAAATATGAGCTCTCTATCCCTTCAGAGCCGGCCAACCAGTCATAGGCCTTTGTACCGGCCCAGAAGTAAGGCGCTTGCCACCATTTTTGCACTGGCACCATGATAGGAAGCCAACTGGAGAGATGGGGCGCTGTATTCAGAAAGTATTTGCGCTCTCTCAATGCCTCCTTCACAAGTTTATATCTGCGATCAAGCCAAAAACGTTAGTGGCTAATAGAGCCAAGTTGTGGACCTCTGCTGATCATTTTATGGGTGCACTGAGGGCGTCCATACTGATTATAATCCAACTCCCACACGGCCTTCTCGAGATATCGAACTCCGCCGTGTACAAGTTTTGTACTCTTGCTGCTAGTGCCGGCGCTAAAGTCATCTCTTTCCACAACAGCTACTTTCAGACCTCGAGTTGCGGCGTCAAGCGCTATTCCCGAGCCGGTAGCGCCGCCGCCGATAACGAGAAGGTCGTATTCATCATCGTTGCCAGAAGAACTCCGTTTGAGGTCTTCAATCTGCTCTAGCCGCGATTTTATCGCAGGGAAGCTGGGAGGGACAAGCTTCCCTTCATGGTAGCCAGGCGGTGGTACGGCGGGCGCTTCCGAGCCAGGAATATTGCGGGGACGATATGAGATGTAGAGGACACCAGCTCCCGTTGCTGCCGCAGCAGATGTGTAGAGCAGAGGTCTCAGAAACTTGCGGGAATGACGAGCGGCCATAATATGTGAATGGATCTATGGAACCTATATTTCGGCTTGCAGATCGGCAGTCGAGAATGATCGGTAGTTGCGACTTGGTCCAATGCGCGAGATCAAACTTCTGATTCGCTTAGATAGATGGATTAGTTGGCAGGTCACAGCAAAAAAAGGGCGTCAGAGTAAGTATGCAGGGTCGCAAAATGAAGTGTATAAAGTACGGCTGTACAGGGCTAGCAACGGGGTTGGTAGTGGGGAAATGGTGCACAAGCGATGACGAAACCAGACACTTAAGAGTGGATATGAATAAGAGGGCATTGTAGAAGGGGATTACAGACTGCAATACATACCTATACTATAAAATTAGGAACTGTAAGTTGGGCGGTGGGGGAAGAGGAGAGCGGGAGAGGAAGGCTCAAGAGAGAAGAGGTATAAAGAAGATGATGGGATAGATTGAGACTTTGACAATATATAACGGTAATAGATACTCCGTCTCCTTGACCATAAGTACCTTACCTGTTCGAATGCCAGTAACGTAGGCGGTGAGATTTTTGAAAAGCTAACTGGAAGGAACCAGTATTCGGGCCTAGGGACAAGAACTACGGAGTACTACGCTAATAATAAATCTCACGAGCCTTCCAGGTAAATAGCACCTATTAATTGATAATATAATATAGGTAATAAAACGCAGAATAATAAAAAAAGAAACCTACAAGAAAACAATAACAACGACAGAATGAAATGACTACTTTAAGGTACCCTGCCTACTTATGGTATGCACCACGAAGGGCAAGCACCTCAACCTCTGGAAGGTACGTACTTTAGGTAGAGTAAAAGTCGGCCTACCTGTCATTAGCAATAAAAGTGTTGGATTTTGTGCAACGAGGTGCTCCGGGTAACTTTCTCTTTTCCGAATGCGTCACAAACGGAGCATGAGTTACCTAAAAATGAAAGATCCCGCGGGTACCTTACCTTACCTACGTAGTTTCCACTGGCCAGTCGCCAGTCGCCACAGCCCATAACAGGAATTATGGATTGGACTGGAGGAATGATCAAAGACAGAATGGGGGTGGACCACAATGACGGTGTCAATGCGCATATCAGTATTGTCCCACCAATTAGAATCTCGGCAGTCCCCGGCGTGGGTAGAGCTAATCCACTAATTCGGACGTCGTTCCCGAGATGATTGCCGGCATGTGACCAGCAAAGTTTTGTGGTCTACTTCGTAGTTAGCTGATCGACTAGGCTAGACTATGTACCTTAGGAGACTGACGGACTACTGGATACCTTTTACGGAGCACTAATCTCCTAGCTTAATTGTCCTGGAGGTGGTAGATAGTTGCTAACTTACGATGACCAGATAGTTTCCTCTGCTATCTGTGCTATGTAGGGCTGTCTTCTTCTTTTCTTCTCTTTCTCTTCGGTCCTCCCTCCAACCACCATCGATATGCACCACTTGGGAAAGATGATAGTGAAGAAAGCCTATGCTGGCCATGCAGTAGTTCTTTGTACGGTTCTGGGATATTTTGGCAATGATACGTTCAGACAATCCGTAGTGTACTATTGGTACAAAACCCTTATGGAGACGGATGAGCTCAGAGACTTCGATCAAATCACAAGACCATCATGTTTCCGGTTCCTCTGATCGACAAGGGGTGAAAAGTAAGGACAGTCTGTGACTCTGTGGGCGAAGGCTCAATAGCCTTCATCATTGAACTTGTCCCATAGATAGCTAGTATTATTATCCAAGCTCGTCCACTTCTTCGAATTCGATTAGCAGGTTGGGGTTTAGCGGCAAATGTACTTGGAGTGGATACGGAGTACTCCGTACTCCGTAGAGGTACGTTGACCTGGAATTCTGAGTGTGGTGGGGATGATTATTATATCATATCCAGATCCGGTTTCAGACATCTGAATAGTAAAATGTCATACCTAACTCATAACTCATAAGATGCCCCGGTTCAGCAAGATTCCTGTCCTCTGTCGGGAATACCCCAATAGACAAGAAATCGAGGTAGCAATAATAAGTTTAAACGGGAAGATACGGGCCAACTTCCAATATTTCAAATTTCTCGACTCGATGATGAGTATCATCTATCTACCCTTGAAGTCGAACCAAACCACCAAGAAAAGAGTTATTGATAATGGAATATCAATATTAGCTCCTAAGGGTTCCTTCATTGACACGAGAAAAAGCCGTGAATAGTAATGCTCCCCATTCATTCCGGTCTCAATTCCAAAATAAGGCAGGTCTGGCTTCCCTTCAGCTTCTAAATTTTTTTAATGCCTTAACTCAATCAATGGTGATTTGACGATAAGTGAAGAAGATTGAAGGCTCTGTCTCTGTAGGCCACCGTGCCGTGCCCTACGACCCACCATACCTATGATTAAAAAGAAGGTAAGTACGGAATATCCCACTCCCTACTTTAGTACTTCATAGTTCGTACAGAGTATTGTGTAGAATGAGTCTAGATAGTCCAGACTCGAGACCTACAATAATCCTAACTAAGATGTCCCTAGCCGGGAAAGCACCAACAACCTTATCTTAATGACCTCGGTCATGTGTGCGTGAGGCCTAAAGGGTTCCTGACTATTTTTCCGCCAATCATTTGGACCACAGAAGCCATGCATTCATACTTCGATTCTCTTGAGGAGGTCTATCAAGAGTACGGAGTACTCTCTACTCTGTCACAAATCACAACCATCTTTTCACATGGTTCCTGAAGATTGCCATCGTGATATTCAATTTCTTGGCTCGGTAGAGTGCATCTAGTAGCATGTCACCTTCCCTAGCACCCTACGGGTGCTTGTTTTTGGGCGTGTGGTTTTTCTACTTGCATGCGCTTGTGCCCTCAATTCGAGGAACACCTGCGTTCAAACGAGCACGGCGACGTTCTCAACATTTTGACATATGTCGATGGCCTTGATTCGGGGAAGTGGACTTATGAGTTCCTGGAGGCTCGGAATTTATGTAGAGGGTACGCATGAGTTATTGATTGTTGATTCGTTGCCTACCAATGGAGTTGAAAATATGGCGGAATTGTTCCGGAGGCGGAATCCCTCGGCAACACCAACCATCCCACACACGCAACGAATGAAGCCCTGCAGTGCATTATTGAGACTTGGGCATGCGACCCCCGGCTTCTGTCTGGCTAGAAAATGCGGGGTGAGAATCGATGTGCGTTGACTGTCACATACATTAGAGGGAGCGGAAATGTTCCTCTCTCAGGAAGGGGTATGAGACCAAACAGTTCAGTTGCAGGAGCCAGACGTCTGCCCTATATTACATCTGTGGTGAGACGGGCATTCCCCTCTATTAACTTCCAATCATGGTCAAATGAGTTTCTGTTGGACTTTACTTCATCATGGCGATAGCAGCAGCAGTGTCCTCATTGCAACAAAACGTCCTTCGACACCCTCTCCAGTCTCTGGCCGTAACAGCACTGGTTGTACCGATAATTTATATCGTCATAAATGAGTTTATTCGTGCATCTGCTCGCGTACCAGGATTCAAGGGTCCCCGCGGTCTCCCTTTGATCGGAAACCTGGCACAAATTCGCAAAAATGCGGCCGAACAGTACCGTATATGGTCAAAGACCTACGGGCCCGTCTACCAAATTCAACTGGGTAATATACCCGTCATAGTCGTCAACTCGGCTGCCGCAGCAAAGATACTCTTCGGCCAAAATGCGCAAGCCGTCAGCTCGAGACCCGAGTTCTATACTTTTCACAGAGTAAGTGAAAGATCATATCCTGCCTTCCCTAACTTGGTCGCTCCGAGATCCTGGAGTAACGTCTCGAATAGATTGTTTCGAACACCGCTGGAACGACAATCGGAACTTCTCCCTATAGTGAGTCTCTGAAAAGGAGAAGAAAGGGCGCTGCATCGGCTCTCAACCGACCATCGGTCGAGTCGTACGTGTCACACTTGGATGTGGAGACAAAGGCGTTTGTGGCAGAGCTTCTTAAATATGGAAATGGCGGAAAGACACCTGTGGATCCTATGGCAATGATCCAGCGTCTCAGTCTGAGTTTATCCTTGACGCTTAATTGGGGAGTGCGAGTGGCATCACAAGAGGAAGATCTGTTCGATGAGATTACGCATGTGGAGGAGGAGATCAGCAAATTTAGGAGCACCACGGGCAATTTGCAGGACTACATTCCCCTCTTGCGGCTGAACCCCTTCAGCACCAACTCGAGGAAAGCAAAAGAGATGAGAGACCGGCGTGACAGATATCTTAATGCGCTTAACCGGGACCTGGATGACCGGATGGAGAAAGGCATTCACAAGCCTTGCATTCAAGCCAACGTTATTCTCGACAAGGAAGCAAAATTGAATAAAGAAGAACTCATCTCTATCAGCTTGACCATGCTCTCCGGAGGCCTTGACACTATTACCACACTCGTGGCTTGGAGTTTTTGTCTACTGTCTCGTCGCCCTGATATCCAGAAGAAGGCGGCACAAGCGATCCAAGACATGTTCAGCCAGGATGAGCCCTTGTGCGATGCCCAAGATGACCAGAAGTGCGCATACGTCGCTGCACTCGTGAGGGAATGCCTGAGGTCCGAGATCCCTTTTTAATTAACCTTCGGTTTTCTCGTCCGGCCTGAAAATTCTGACTGAGAATCTACAGATATTATACCGTCCTCCGTCTTGCGCTTCCGCGGACCTCTATCAAAGACATCACTTATGACGGCAAGGTTATTCCGAAGGGCACGGTCTTCTTTCTGAATTCTTGGGCTTGTAATATGGGTAGGAGCTCGCTCATTATTATTATTGTTATTATTATTTATTTATTTATTTTTTATTTATTTTTTTTTTTTTTTTGGCCTTGGCTGTTGACGCTGACGAGTACGCACTAGACCCCGAAGTTTGGAGCGATCCCGAGGAATTCAGACCGGAGAGATGGTTTGAACAACCAGATGCACCCATGCTGACCTATGGCATCGGCTATCGCATGTGCGCCGGCTCACTACTCGCTAACCGTGAATTGTACCTGGTCTTCATGCGCACTCTAAACAGTTTCTATATCGAACCACATGACGACGTTGACTGGCACCCCATTAATGGGAACTCGGACCCCACAAGTCTGGTCGCGATTCCCAAGAAGTACAAGGTCCGCTTTGTTCCAAAAAATGAGCAAGCCCTTACACAAGCCTTGGCTTAACGGCACCAGGCGGCGTTGTTATATTTCCTTGCGAGTCTAAACTCCTTTGGCCAACGGAAAACAGTGGCCCTGAATGTAGAAGCATATAGGGACATGTTCATCTACTCCTGCGATCAAGTGGTTCTTCTAAATATAAGTAACAGACTGGGAAATGATATCCCTAACATGATTCCTTCCCGATGTTGTCTGGCTAGACGCCCTTTATTTTGTTTGCACCAGTCTTTTTCTCCATCAGTTAAGCTTTATATGATTATACTGACTATAGCGTGTACGCAAGTTTCGAAGTGCTGAGGTGTGCGTGGGGGTAGCAGTAATTTATATATCATCTCATCGTCACCTCTCTTGCAGAAGTTGATGAAGAATATTGTCCAGGGGGATCGAACGAATGGCAACTAGGCACATATGCTGCATGCATGAAGGAGGCGTATCTCAGCTAAATAGGTCAGTCTTCATGATGAAGAAATGGACCGCTCAACTCATGGTCGTATCAAATCCGTTCTGAACGTCGCCTCGTCGCAGCAACGTAAACCGGAAGTTAGCGTTGCGGACGACCTTTGAATCGGTATCATGTATGCATTCTGTTAGAGAGTGTATTTATAATTGCATACAAACCTTCGCTTAAGAACGAAGAGGGAAACTTGAAGGCTGTGCAGAGAGGTTGGAAAATCGCAGCTTTCCTACATGTCTCGTCCGGCTGCAAATTTGGTTGAGATACCTCGCATGGTCACATTTCTTTTTCCCTTTTTTCTTTTTTTTCTCAGGAGAAATGGCGCTATGGGCCCCCCCGAAGGGTAGACAGGCATTCCACATAGAGGTCAACGGTATGGGGATTGATGGTTGGCCCAGCTAACTAAGTAGAATATCGTCAAGCTGGTGATTAGAGGAAAACTGCGCTCTATATAATATTGTAAATGGCAAAATGTCTGGGACGCCGCCCGCTGCAACCAAAACTAGCATGGTGGTTAGGTAGACGTGTGACGAGATCTGAAATAATCACTCACCAGAGCTGATAGCTATTTGATGGGAGGTATTGCCAAGTAAGCTATAAGGGGAAAGAAACGGTGCTGATATCAAGGAGGATACCTGCCTATGACAGACAATCGATAAAAGCTCCTGGATCTTCCAAGTGCCATCTACTTATAACAGATTAGCCGGTTAATCATTGTGCATTGCATGTTCTCAGTGAGTTATTCGCTTTTTAGAGAATTTTCAAGGGAGAGCCCCCCTCTGCGAGCCAGGCACAGCCCCACTGTCAGTACTTGACATTTCGCAGATATCACCATTTATAGACGGTGATACGGCGAATCTTCCATCGGGTTAAAAGGCGTAATGGACTTTGGCCATAGACAGCCTATCATAGGGGCAACAGCATCAGGATTGACCTCAAGTCATACTTATGCTCATGACTATACCTAGCTATGGGCGAACCGGCAGACATTACCTGCAAGCGCTTTCCGGGGCCCATCTGGCTTAAAACCTCAGTCGCGCTGAGGATGTGTCATGCAAAAACACCAAAATTTCAGCCTGCCGCCCTTAGGAGCTCAATGCACCAGGAATATACCAGAGACTAATAGTAGCCTGGGGCTGACATAAATGAGATTCCCTGTCAACCACCCAAGTCCATAAAACATGATACTTCTGAAACCCCTTGGCATTAGCCAGAGTTCTTTTTGGAGGCATCAAGCTCCAAGATCGATGGTGACATTGCCAATGACAGGAACATCATCAATATCCGGAATGCCTCACCCACATGTTAGGAGAAATAAACATTAACTCGCCAGGAATACGGTCATGTGGGAGAGATAGTTGCATGTCTCAGTCCTGCGGCCTTTCTCGTTCTTCCACGGGAATTCGCACCAGGGTTGCCGGCAGACAGCGCTCAACCATTAAGTCATGGCCAGTCTCAGCGCTTGAGGATTGATCTTTTGTGCTTATGGAAACTGCAGCTTTTGCTATGTTGGCATGCAACATCAGTGATTTTTGCTGAAACAAGTTCATGGGAAAATAACGATGAGCGCCGCAAGACTCCAAAACATGCCGGACTTACTTGAAGCCATACTGATAGCCCGTAGAACGTTGTCCCAATTTGCAAGAACGCAGGCCATAGCTAGAAATCAGAAATTTGCTCAAGTCAGTGATTGTATGCAATCTTATCTGACTTTTTCTCTTTTCGTTCAGTGATCGTGCAGAATTTCGCAGCCTCAATATTGTGCAAAAAGTGGAAGAATGCAGAAAGAGGAACAACGAAGCAGCGAACCTTCTGTACCATCTCTTAATGTACCTATCTTCGCCTCTAAGACCTGCATTTGCATCGCCATGACGCCACTTAGATCCCGCAGCCGCATCAAATTCTCGAGCTCGGCTTTCTTGGAGACAATGCGAGACGATAGAGCTAAAGACTGCTGGTGTGAGATGGCATTAAGATTGCTCTGTTGACGAATTGACGATGATGTCGATGTGCTGGCCAAAACTGCGGAAGTAGGACGCGACGATGAATACGCCATGACACCTGGGAGACTAGTGCAGTTTGTGGTTTGCACAAGCCACGTGTGTCAATTGCCCAAAGAGAAAAAAAAAAGAGAGAAAGAAAAAAAGAAGAGATACTGACTCAACGCTCTGATTATTAGAATCAGTTGAACTAAGAGAGGAAGCAACAAAGCCCATATAAATGGCTAGGTAGTTTTGCTTGTGCCTTCCCTAGTCCCCACTTTACTAGGCCCTATGTGGACAAACATCAACAACGGGACTTCGCCCACTACCACCAACCATGAACCACAATCTTGTTTACATTTCGCATCTGCTCTGTGGTAGAGCATAGACTACATACCATGCCCATTGCACTCCCGGGCCCGACAGAGATATACACAAACCCAGATTTAATTATCTGGCGCTATCTACAACCTTTCGGCTATAATTCTCCTCTTCACAGGATTAAGTCTCCAGTAACTGAACAGGAGGCATTTCACTTGGCATGAACCTTCCAGAAACATGGCTCGATTGAATGAATCTACGGCTCCGACAGAGCCCATTGATATCCGTAAGCTGCTCTCACTGTCCTATCCCTATTATCCAGTTTCCTCTCGCCACTGCCCCGTCCTTGTCCCTCCCTGATTCCTTGTGTGCATCGCCGTATTTCTCTTGGGGTCCTTATTGATTACTTGTATGTCAATATTAGTGAAGCGACGATTTGTGCGGCAGAACCGCGAGATTGCCCGTGTCAATTCAATACAATCCCTTCGCATTCGCACCCTTGAATCTGATGTCTCCAATTTGCTCGCGGAGAATGTTTCCCTACGGGAGCAGGTCATAATGCTGAGTCAAGAGTTGGAGAGGTTTGAATCGGCCAAATCGCTCCACGATGGCGTCTATGATATCAAAACGAGATTAGACGACAAGTTAGCAGAGTTAGGCAATCTCGTCAACGAGTTGGGCACATTACCACGCAGGTTGGACAAGTCCTGTCATGACAGATTGGGCGCCGGAGGCCTCGGGCAACTCAAATTATCGAGATCCGAATCCACATACAGGAAACCTGACCCTGAGATCAACTTGATTTGTAAGGAACAGGGAGGTCTGCCGGTAATTCTCGAAGACAAATGCTACCCGCGAGAAACCCTTGAGTAAGTACTGGTCGAGAATCTCATACACATGTTTATTTTGTGCTTAGCAACGTCAGGTCACAGGAGATACGACACCTGATCGATTCTAGTCGTGAGATCTGTACGGCTCCAGACCCGGCAGAGGCACCATCGCCACTATCGACAATCAAGCGTCGAGAGTCTACCCCACAAGCTTCTGAGAAAGATCTTGAAAATATCGAAATACTCGGCGTTGATGAGAGGTTGGACGACGAAATGTTATTCTCGAATTTGATGACAAGGAAGAGACAAAAGCCAGACCCTTCCGCCTCGAACGATATCTCACCAACATCGGGCCGGCCCTCAATCACTGAGCTGGACGAGACAATCTCTCCAAAGAGGGCTGGGCAAAAGAGGAAATTTGGTGCAGATCGTGAAGACGAATACCTCTTGACCAGTATAGGCGATGATGATTTCCAATACAGTCGGCCGCCCCACTCTTCGCTCGGGAAAGACGAAGGACGTGTGTCTACCCGTGGGAGGAATCCATTACTGCGAGAGGACGCGCAGCCGAAGCGGGATTCTGGTACTCACAAAGCAACTCAACGCAAAGCTCTTGAACCAAGTATGGCAACTCCCTTATGGTTGAAAAGCAGCATGAACGGCTCGTTAACTGTATGAATCACAGAGAATGGCAACCTCAGTATCGCCTCCCCAGACGAACACCCCCCTACCACAGCCCATGATGGCATGCGCAAGAAATCGCAAAGACAGAAAGGGCCTCTCAATCCAGTAGAGCCCGGAGAAGAATCAATATGCCAGCAACAGGGTAGCTTTGTTGGGAATTTCTCCAGCCAATGTTCAAATGACAATGAGCGAAAAGAAACCAATACTCACGAAATAGTCACGCTTCCAAACAAGGAGCCACAGAAATCAGAATCATTGTCCCCTGCAAAAACCGTATCTATATTTCAAGGTGGCTCTGGAATGACTTCTTCATTATTAAACGCCCCTCCTTCACGTCCGTCAAGACGTCAAAGATCTGTCGTGAGCTATGCGGAACCGAACCTGAGAGACAAAATGCGTCGACCCACAAACGAATTTGTTCCCGCTGTCGGGGGGGAGAGGCTGAGCAAGACATCGAACACAGCTGCGCTTCCCGAGTCTACAGATGAGGGAGACGTGGGGTTACAGACCGATATCAGCCGAGCAAAGAAACCGGAGAGTTCGCCAGGGACGACGCGGGACCACATATCAATATTGGAAAAGGCTTCGGGTCACACATCACGTTCTCCCGTAAACATGGTTTCTCTCAGAAAAAAGAAGAACATTCTGGCGAAGATTGTGACTGCTGGCGAAGAGGATCGTGATACTCTACAAAACGAGCTGTCATCGGGCGCTAGGGAGAGACCCAATTACTCT